CATATCCGTAATGTAAAACGCCCCGTTTTCAAAGGTCTTGCAAAAGCCCATTCATGCTGGAATGTAGCATTCCAGTGCTTTACATATGATTGTGTTCAATAGTCTAAAGATGACGCCTATAAGCATATGGTCCAATAACTAGCCTAGCCGTGACACACTTTCTTAAGGGGGCGTTTTGCACGGTTCACCTCTACCTAAGAAATTGCTAAGATCCGCAATCATAAAACATGGCTCACAGCAGGGCTGAAGTATGAAATACGCAAGCATGACCGGTTATTCAGGCTTGCTCAGCGCCACGACTCAGAAAGCCATGCAGTTCAGTTTGCCGCCGATGATGACAGCATGGTCGGGTGGTTCGTTCCGCGACAGGGTCCGGCTGCTTTGTGCGGCTCGGCGGGGCGGGAGGGGGGAGGCAGGCGACGCGTCTGACAGGCGACACTTGAGCGTCCCGGGAATCAGCTGTCACCGTGCGGCGCGGCGGGCCGTCCCTCCGACCCTTCCCATTGTTACCTGACTGGGCGCCGGCCGCCGGTTCTCCGGAAGGGTCACTTTGGTATGCGAAATCTTCACCGCACTTGCCCTCTGTCAGAGAGTGTACTGAGGTACAGTAGTTTCTAACAGCTCGTTCGATTGGTCTGCCTGCTCAGCCAATCATATTCTGGCAACCTTGAGCCTTGGGACCCAACGTCGCTATGGTACTTCCGTATAGCCTGAGGCACCTGGGTACTTATGAATCTTGGGTCCCGTTGGATCTTGGGTCCGACTGTACTTGGGTACATTTGATACACACCCAAAAAAACGCTACCATAACGCAAATCAACTGGAAAGTGACGTTTTATTTAACTTTGTTATTTATAATTATCGCAAACGTCCATTTTTAGGCTTGGTGTTGTATTCTTCTGCTAAATTTAATAAAAATTGGTTTGTTTATTTTGAGTTTAATTAGTTATGACAAGCTAAAGCTAAGGTTAAGATAATTGACGTCATGTGTTTATACCTTTAAAAAGTAAACCACACTACATTATTGGATTATGCCCTAAACCTTGTCCTGGTAAATTCTCAAGGCCGCAAGACAACAGGGCATGAACAAAATGTTTTTTCTTTGCATTTTGAGATTCTAATTAGCCTTACATTTGACTTCATATTTGTCATATCAGTTGGGCAAACTAGACTTTTGGAATCAAAATATGGAGGCATCAATAATTTGATTCTGGTGGGAGGAGCCATGACCAAATATGGGCATGGAATCAATTTTTTGATTCATTTGGGTACACTTTTGACTTCAAATGAATCGTTACGGTTGAAAAAAGGCCCATGACGGTGAGATTTTTCTTTTAAAAGGTAGAAAAATGTGGTAGGTTTGCAAAAAGTGTTACCTCAAAGCTAAGAAATTGTCCCTTTGGCCTTGTGAATGGGAAAAAGACAGAGCCACTGTCCATCACGTAAAAGCTGTTTTGAGGAAATCACACTGTATGTTATTTATGTATCATGAATCACATACTAACCAATCAGTATTTGTGTAAAATGGCAAAATGAAATTTATAAACCCCTAATTACCATTGTTGTAGTGCTTTTATATTATTTATATGGTTTTTACCTGTTGCTTCAGTTTTTGTATTCTTGACATTTAAAAATTGTGAATTGTTATCAAATGTAGTGAAGGTAAAGTACAACAATGCTATAGGTATCAGTTGTGGTGCTGAGGATACCACTAAATGAGAATAATAGCAAGATAAATGCTGTATTCTTGCAAGTCATTGTTGCCTATCTGTTAACATTACCTGTGAATCAAAATAATGATTAGCCAGCTGATGGGGAATCAATATTATGATTATCTGTTTAAAGTGAATCAATTCCTTGATTGCCTTTCACTACCTATAGAATTCAAATTGTTATGATAGGAGCAATATTATTTTGCTTAGGAGATAGTTCAAGCATTTCTGCTCAAGATCAGGCATGCTCCTTCTTGAAACACTCTCTTATTTTTATGTGATTGGTAAGTTAGAAATGGTCTGCATTTATGCCCAAAAGGAATCAATCTTTTGATGCCTCCATATTTTGATTCCAAAGGTCTAGTTTGCCCAACTGATATATTAAAGGCGTAACCGGACAAATCTTCGTATGGCATTTCTTCGTCGCGCAATATTTCGTCCGCATTTCTTCGTCCGCAAATCTTCGTCGGCGCATTTATTCGTGTCGCATTACTTCGTCTCGCATTTCTTCGTAGGTGCAAAAATTCGTAGCGCATTTCTTCGTATCCGCATTTCTTCGTCGGCGCATTTCTTCGTCAAGCATTTTTTCGTCCACGCATTTCTTCGTCTACGCAAATCTTCGTCCGCATTTCTTCGTCCACGCAAATCTTCGTCTGCGCAAATCTTCGTCCGCAAATCTTCGTCCGCATTTTTTCGTCCACGCATTTCTTCGTCTACGCAAATCTTCGTCCGCATTTCTTCGTCCACGCAAATCTTCGTCCCCGCAAATCTTCGTCCGCAAATCTTCGTCCGCAAATCTTCGTCCGCAAATTTTCGTCCGCATTTTTCGTCCACGCATTTCTTCGTCCAATCAAATCTTCGTCCGCAAACCTTCGTCCGCAAATTTTTGTCTGCGCTATCTTCGTCTCCGCAAACACTCGTCCACAAATGTGGTTCAATAAAACCATGAAGAAATATCAGACAGTCAAGTGAATGACGAATTTGATGCATGGAATGGATGATCGAAACTTTTGAAGTCAGGTAGATGAGGTCAGTCAGGTGAAGCTATTGTATTTGGAGCCGACAATTGTAACATTCCATATCATTTGTGTCCCGAGCATTCTTTTTTTCCCGGTCGTTGAATGACAATATAATCTCTTGTACCCTCGCCGGCATAGGCGGTGGAACGGGGAGTGCACCGGGGCACCGTTCCCCTCTTTAATTTTGGCCTTTTAACAGTAGCCCTATGGGTGTTGCATGGAAAGCATATTGGACCAAAAGTCGGCAGTGCCGTGCCCCCTTAATTGAAGATGTTCCGCCGCTACTGCCCGCCGGACCTATTTGTTTTCTACGGTACGGTGCACGCCGGCCGAGGGGGCGGGTACGACCCCCCCCCCCCCCATCGCCGTTTCGCCACTGGTGGAGCTAGCGCGTCGCGGAAAAAAACGAGCGTGTGCGCCGCTACGAGCCGCAGAGATTGATACCCGATTTTAAGGCCTTCTAGGTCAGGGGTCGGCATACGGCCCGCGGGCCGGATCCGGCCAGTTGGGTGACGGTTGGATCCGGCCCGCGACCATCTGACGTCCGGCCCGCGGCTGGTATCAGCGACTTACATCGTGTTCCGGCCCGGCCCCCCCCCCCGCCACACACACACCGCCTGGAAGGTTAAGCGAGTAGACCACGTGAAGCCGCCAAGTGCACGCAGCTGCAGCAGTCGTTGATGCTACGCGCAAGAGCTGCTGACCAAATCTTACCGTTGCAAGTTTTGTCTAGAAGTAGAATTAGACAAAAACACCCGCAAATGGTGTTTATAAACTCATGAAGTGTGCGAAGGAAGAACTGTTGTGCCAAAGCACATTTGAGTCACTTTTATATCGGAGTCGATTTATGAAGGAACCGCGGGCCGGAACACGATGTAAGTCGCTGATACCAGCCGCGGGCCGGACGTCAGCTGGTCGCGGGCCGGATCCAACCGTCACCCACCTGGCCGGATCCGGCCCGCGGGCCGTATGCCGACCCCTGACCTAGAACGCCTTAAAATCGGGTATAAATCTCTGCGGCTCGTAACGGCGCACACGCTCGTTTTTTTCCGCGACGCGCTAGCTCCACCAGTGGCGAAACGGCGATGGGGGGGGGGGGTCGTACCCGCCCCCTCGGTCGGCGTGTACCGTAGAAAACAAATAGGTCCGGCGGGCAGTAGCGGCGGAACATCTTCAATTAAGGGGGGGGGGGGCACGGCACTGCCGACTTTTGGTCCAATATGCTTTCCATGCAACGCCCATAGGGCTACTGTTAAAAGGCCAAAATTAAAGAAGGGAACGGTGCCCCGGTGCCCTCCCCGTTCCGCCGCCTATGCCGGCGAGGGTACAAGAGATTATATTGTCATTCAACGACCGCAAAAAAAGAATGTCCGGGACACAAATGAGGAATATTACGATTGTCGGCTCCCAAATACAATAGCTTCACCTGACTGACCTCATCTACCTGTCTTCAAAAGTTTCGATCATCCATTCCTTGCATTAAATTCGTCATTCACTTGACTGTCTGATATTTCTTCATGGTTTTATTGAACCACATTTGTGGACGAATATTTGCGGAGACGAAGATAGCGCAGACAAAGGTTTGCGGACGAAGATTTGCGGACGAAGATTTGGTTGGACGAAGAAATGCGTGGACGAAAAATGCGGACGAAAATTTGCGGACGAAGATTTGCGGACGAAGATTTGCGGACGAAGATTTGCGGACGAAGATTTGCGGGGACGAAGATTTGCGTGGACGAAGAAATGCGGGCGAAGATTTGCGTAGACGAAGAAATGCGTGGACGAAAAAATGCGGACGAAGATTTGCGGACGAAGATTTGCGGGGACGAAGATTTGCGGACGAAGATTTGCGCAGACGAAGATTTGCGTGGACGAAGAAATGCGGACGAAGATTTGCGTAGACGAAGAAATGCGTGGACGAAAAAATGCTTGACGAAGAAATGCGCCGACGAAGAAATGCGGATACGAAGAAATGCGCTACGAATTTTTGCACCTACGAAGAAATGCGAGACGAAGTAATGCGACACGAATAAATGCGCCGACGAAGATTTGCGGACGAAGAAATGCGGACGAAGAATTGCGCGACGAAGAAAACTGTGTGCCGATCCCAGAAGTTTATGTTGTTTTTACTAACTACGCACATCCGGCCGCTAATTGAATACTGCTCTTGCGTGTGGCACACCGGATTTGTCCAGGATTTGCGGTTACTTGAGCGAATCCAGCGTCGCTGGACAAAGCAGATTGACGGTATGGCCCTTCTCCCCTATGGAGAGCGTCTACAGCTCCTAAACCTTTACTCTATCCAAGGCCGACTGCTACGGGCTGACCTCATACAGTGCTGGAAGATTTTTCACGGCCACTCATGTATCTTGCCGGCTGAACTATTTGCCCAGCCCACCCTAACCAGAACCCGTGGACACAGGTACAAAGCATTTCTCCCTGCCGTCAACACAGATGTGCGTAAAAGGTCGTTTGCAATTAGGTGTATACATGTTTGGAACTCTCTGTCTGACGCCACGGTGTGCGCTCCTACTATTTCGTCATTCAAGCAGGGCCTACACAGAGATATACATGATTTGCTGTATGCATATGTTTGATGTCGTCTATCTTATGCTACCTTCTTGTTAACTATTCCACACAACGAATGTACAACTGTTTAACACTTATGTATTCATGCCTTAACATTCAGATGTAATCTCACAGACGGGACGCAACTTTCCAGCCGCCCGCTTTCCATGATAGGTGTCTTTTGTATAGCTTTGCAAGGCTGGCACGTCCCTTGTGTACGGGGTTCCTAAATTCCTCTTCTTGACTCTCCTATCTCTATCCTACTGGACATTGTTGGAACCCAACCAGGTAAAACCAGGTAAAAAAGTTGTCAAATTTGTAGCACATTTTCAACACTTTCATATCAATATGGTGTCAGTGTGGCATGTAACCTAGCTAGGTTCAATATGTTCAGGGTTCAATTCAGAAGAGCTCAGCATAACTCACATAAGAGATAGACGGGGGCTTTACATGGGGTAGATGGCCTGATGACTTAGCTGGAATATGGCCAAAATTAAATTGACAGCTTTTAGGTGAAAGGTGGTGATTTGGGTTAAGGGGCGTTTGTTGAAGTCAACTACTGGGTTATTTTGCACCCACCCATTAAATGAAACTTCTGCTCCAATTCTACCCATTGAACCTCAATATCATGATCCACCTGTCCATCACTAGGTATCCTTCCTTATTACATAGAAACTTTGAATGGCATGGCAATTTATAATTTTAAATGACAATATTTTTGTTTCTTCTGTAGGTAGGTAGGTAGGTAGGTACACCAGACTGCTATGGACACTTTTCCAAGTTGGTGGGGCAAAAAACCTAATGTATATCTTGGTTTGAGTCGTTTGATTGAGTTGATTGATTCCTTTCATTGTCGCGTTTGAGTCGATTGAATCAATTCCCGAAAACTGCTCTGACTTGATTGATTTGATTGGTTTCCCAAATTTGTCGTGATTGAATTGATTGCTATTGATTGAGTCGTATACAACCCTAGTCGAGACCCCAGTAATGTGGGCGCTTCTTTGGCAGCTAATCGGCTGACCTGGCCGGTTGTTCAACAACCGGTAAACTGAACAGTGAGCAGGGGGCATCGCGCAGCTACCTCATATAACAAGGGCATTCTACACCGTCTGATGCTCTATTCGGCAGGACACTACTTTTCAACTGCCACACTTGCATTCATCGTAGCTAAAAGAAAAAAATCACGGGGCTGATCGAGAAAAAAAGCTCCATTCAAACTGCAGTAACTAGACATTTTGCAAATATTTTTTAATATGATGACCACAGATGACCTCCGTGACCTCACAGGTCAGCAATGCCTTCGCCTATTGCAGCTACCTTGACCGAATTCCAAATCAAAGCATATCATCGGGTAGCCCATAGGCCGTAGTAACTTTCCTTAAAAGCCGCTTCTCGATATGTGACCCCGTTTGACCTCGGCAGGGCAAAAGGTACAAATAAACGACACTCCATAGTCCATACGTCACAGCCCGGATTCAGCCCAGATTCGGGACACCTCCGATCAAGCTGAAACTCGCAAACAATGAAGGTCCTGACATGCCCAATCCACAGTCCGAGTCATTCGGTGGCATTCCCAGCCGTTTGACCTACAGAGGTCAGCAAAGGTCACGCGGCCCAAATTTGCACAGCAGATTGTGGCCCACCCAGTAGAGCTAGAGCGCTAAAAATGGCACCAATCGAGTCACAAGCATCTAATCTTACTTTCCCAATACCCATTTGACCTCTCAAGGTCATGCAATGACCAAAGGTCATTTGTGGGCTATGTCGAAAATAGGTACACTTGCACAGCAGTTTTCGAGTAGAGGGATTGACCGAATTCCAAATCAAAGCACATCATCGGGTAGCCCATAGGCCGTAGTAACTTTCCTTCAAAACTGCTTCTCGATACGTGACCCCGTTTGACCTCGGCAGGGCAAAATGTACAAATAATCGACACTCCATACGTCGCAGCCCGGATTCAGCCCAGATTCGGGACACCTCCGATCAAACTGAAACTCGCACACAATGGAATGTTTTATATCTTGCCTGAAACGATCCCTTGTGCGTTCCAAGACATTGCGTTGGAATATGACGTTAAAAATACCTAACATGCAGTTAAAAAGCAGATTCTGGGGCATTCACCGTCCTTGCTTCTTTCGCTGGAAACGATCGTCCAAAACAGTAAAATGGCTTTTTTCGACAAAATCTAATTTCGAGCGCAGTCTCGTCAATCAAACATTTGCAGTGCATGACGTTGAGCCATGCAGCGTTAACTCCGACTCCGGAGTCGGAGTCGGTAAGATATTGACGACTCCGACTCTGACTCCGGGCAGAACTGTCGACTCCGACCGACTCCAACTCCGACTCCGACTCCGCACTCCGCAGCCCTGGTTTAGAGGCTGGTAGAACTCTATTACCACGGAATATATAGTCTACGACAGAGTCGTAGACTATATATTCCGTGCTATTAGTTATTACTAAGGCCGGCTTGGTGGGCTTGGTTTACTAGGGGGAAAATATTGTTCCCCTGTGACGTCAAGGATTTGGTAGCAATGTGGTAGTTATCGAAATAGCCGTTCATGGCGCAATTGTTACATAAAGATTCTAGTTCAAATATTTGCAGAATCTGGTATTCCTTAGTGATGACGTCAGTCAGTCGGGAAGTTTTTCCTTCACAGTAAAAGATCACGAGATCCACGAGATCACAGCACTGAGCAGTGAGCACTATGAGCACGACCTTACTTACCGGACCTTACGTTTTCTATCATATTTCATAAGTTATAACATAACTTAGGCTGGGGGGATCCGTGCTATCGTAAGTTATATCGGACGTGGCTGCGAAACTTCTCTCGGTACGAAACTTCTCTTGATCGGAAGAAAATCGGAGGGATGAAAAAGAAAGAGGGGCAAATCGGAGCTACGTTGTACGTAAGTTGTTTCGCAGCGTTTAAATGCCAGTTTTACTACGATTTAAATGCCAAGCAGATCAGCTGACCTCGTAGTACCATGTCGATAAGGTCGAATTCCCCATACGTCTATAGTGTAAAAGTGACCCCTATTGCAAAGGGGCTGTCAGGGACATCTCCTCCTCTGTAAATTTGGAGGGATCATGTGTCGGCATTCCCACGTTCGTTTCGGAGTCCATCTGTTCCATTTGGAGCCCGTCAGTTGTCGTCAAGAGTTGGCGCAGCGAGCGCCCCGAAGACTGCGTCTGCGCACGAGGCTTCGCGATGGAGGAGTATTTTGACGAAATCGCCCTCGCTGCAGAATAAATAGAGGGACTTGTTGAGAAAGAGGAGGCCGCAGTGTGCCGACGACTTTAAACTGTACGCCAACGCCAAGACCAAGGCAATCAGGGGGCGCTCAGATGATCGGGAGGTTTCGATTGATCAGGGACCCACCAGGTGACCAGGGAACCCTCTGATAACTAGGGGTCCTTCCAATAACCAGGGACTCCTTCAATAACCAGGGGCCCCTCAGTAAACGTGGGCCACTCAGGTTACTGCAAGAGACAGGAGTCCCTTATAACCAGGGACCGGCAAGGTCTTTCAGGTCCGTTTTTGACAAAGCTGTTATTGATGTCATATGCGAGCAATTTGCCAGCAGCAGAGGGCCCTTTCAAGCCTTTTTAGGGCCGTTTAACGTCTCTTGAGTTTCCTTTGAGGCTAAGGGCCTCTTCAGCAGCCGAGGGGTCTTTGAGGCCTTTTGAGAGCCTCTTAACGTCAGCTGAGGACCGTTGGACGCCATCTGTTGGGGCCTTCTGATGGCCAGTAGATGCCAACTGAGGGCTCTCTGACACCAGCTGAGGGCACGCTGACACCAACTGGGGGCCTCCTGACACCAACTAAGGGCGCTTTTATATTTGACACGAGCTCAGGGCCCTTTGACGCCCTTTGAGACCTTCTGAGGTCCGTTTGACGCCAGCAGAGGACCCTTTGGGGGCATATGAGGGCCCTTTGCTGCCTTTTAAGCGGCCTTTGAGGCTTTTTGAGGGCCGCTTGACGCCACCTGAGGACCGTTGCGGTTGGACTCCAGTTACGGACCGTTTGAGGCCTTCTGATGGCCATTTTGCGCCAACTGAGGGCCGGGGGGCCCTCTGATACTAGCTGGGGGCCCTCTGACACCAGATAAGGGACCTTTAAGGCCTTCTGAAGTCCGGTTAACGCTAGCGGAGGGCCTTTTGAGGCCAAATGAGGGCCCTTTGAGACCTTATAAGGGCTCCTTGAGGCTTTTGAGGGCCGCGTGACGGCATCTGAGGACCGTTGTACTCCAGCTGACGACCGTTTGAGGCCTTCAGATGGACTTTTGGCGCCAGCTGAGGAGGGCTCACTGACACCAGCTGGGGGCCCTCTGACACAAGCTAAGGACTCTTTAAGGCCTTCGGAGGGTCGTTTGACGCGAGCTCAGGGCCCTCTGACGCAGGTTTAGGGCCTTTTGACGCCCTTTAAGGTCTTCTGAGGTAGGTTTAACGTTGGCTGAGAGCCATTTGAACCCATTTGAGGGCCCTTTGAGGCCATCTTGTGGCCCTTCATTTGGCCATCTGAGGGCCCTTTGACACCAGATGAGGGCCATTTGACGCTAACCGAGGGCCCTTCGAGACCATCTGAGGACCCGGTGACCCCATCTGTGGGCCCTTTGAGGTCTTTTGAGGGCCATTGAAATTTCACAATACCCCTGGCTGCGCTACTGGGCATTTATGGACTCGTATGGGCCTGCTGGGGAACGAGATGGGCCCTGCCGGTCTTCTCAATCATTATTTCAGTTCATTTTACATGGTCTTCGGCGGTCTAAAGATTAGGGGCCCCAACTCGAATGGGGGGGGGCCGTGTGCCCTCTCCTGTGTGTGGCCTTGCCGACACTACACCGCTTCCCCTCCCTCCGCCATAAACGCACCGCTGCACTGTTAGGCGCCGACAAATACGGACCGGCGCCGCAACCGCCTCCCCCGCGGCCTGCCTCGCGTTGACATAGCCCTTTCCGAACACCAGTGTAACCCCCACGCGGCCTAGGTATCGCCGCGCCCACCTGTCCGCGGCGCGGCCTCTAATGGCGTATCGGATCATTGATGGTGCGATACATGTTTTGGTCAGATTTTCGCAATTAACGCGAAAAATTGCCCAAAAGACTTTTTAAATTTCAAAATTGAAAAAAATATTACAAAAATGACGTGAAAGTGACCGTTTTCAACGTGTAAATTTAAAACGCTCTAGCGCAGCCGTTTTTGAAGAAATCGACTTCAAATTTTGCACACGTGTTCATCAACCATATTTGTTTAACATATATTTCGGTTTTGTGAAAATTTTGAAAATTTCTTATATTTTTCTCTTGAGAAAGAGGTAAAGCTTCGCTACGATCGGCCTTCCGATCGACCGAGAAGATTCGTAAAGTTAGTTCGTATCTTCACCATTTGCGATACAACTTGCGTATCTACTTAGCCTACGATGTGATGGATCCCTCCAATATCTGTTCCGATTCAACTTACGTTTGATCGCAACTGCGAGGTGCCTTGCGCTGTTATCTGAAATGACCATTTGGATCTTTTAACCCTCGCCCGCACATGGGGGGGGGGGGTGGTTGCCACCCCCCCCCCAGGTAGTCTTTCTGCTCTGCACTCAACATTTTTAGAGCTAGAAGGCTGATTTTTCGTATAGCTGCTCCTCTATCCTTTCTTGATGTCCACTGAAAATTTCAAGTTTCTGTGATTTTTGGTTTCGGAGATATGACCTTGTTTGTCAGGTCATGTCATGACCCAAATGGCCAATTCTCAACATATTGCGTTTGCCATGGGCCTTATGAGCTTTTGACACCCTGATTTCGGCCTTTTTTGCCAGTCTTACCTCCCACCTATCATGGAACATGTTGTTCGACGATGTACAGGGGTCAAGGTCAGGGTCAAGGTCAACCTAGGTCATCTAAGATAATTGCGTTTTAGGCAAGCTGAATTTACTTTTTTGAAGTTTTTTTGACTGCATTTTTGGTAAAAGCTTCTCAGATCATGATTTCATGTAATATGGACCCAAAAACAATCGGTGCACACATCAGTATACACACAGACACACACAGACATACAAACACATATAATTGACCTTGACCTAACTTGACCTGAAATGACCTCAGCAGCAAAATTCTGGTCGGGTAGTGTGACAAAGAGGTTCTAGCTGGCTTGGCACCAGAAAACAGCATCGTCATCGGTATTTGATAAGCAGCACACTTGATATCCAACGGTGACCCAAAACAGCAACATTTTTTTGTTTGACCTGACCTGGAAGGTCAATGACTGACCTGAGAAGGTAAAACTGGGTATCATTGGATTCGTCTCTTCCCAAAGAATCTTTTTGGTCTTTACCGCTAAGCTCTATCTCCAACAGGAACGAAATGGCGCGGGGGGGGGGGTGGCAACCACCCCCCCCCCCATGTGCGTTCTAGGATGGGAAAATGGCATGTGCGCCGTGCGGGCGAGGGTTAGTTAACTGAACCATGATCTTTTCAAGGATTACAATACAACGCCACCCGAGGCAATCGCCGATGCCAAATGCCATATGGCCATGCGATAGCCCTGCAAATGTGAAAAATCAATTTATCGCTTGGAACATTTTTCGAAAGCCCATCATTTATTTATGAGGGCAAAATAAACCCCTGCTGAATCCCTGCTAACTTCCGTTACATCACCTTTTTGTTGTTTCGTGCTCCAGATTCGTTTCAAATGCGTCAGATTTGGAACAGAGCGATTGCTACCATATCATCGGGCCTCATCATACTTGCATCCAACCCTGAACACATCAAGGCCCTATATACCAGGTAGGGTCGTCCGGCGATTCTACCTGATCGTGACGTCAGCTCGTGACGTCATCTGGGGGCAAGTCTTGAAGCCCCGTTTAAGTCCTATGCAAATGGGCGATTTTTGAAGCGCTGTAGAACAAACCCTGCTAAAGCTAGCACAAAACTAAGTGTATCATCGGAAAGCCGAGACATTTTTCTTCGAATTATCTAAGAAGCGTTTTTCACTAAACCCATTAGTTTTTCCAAAAATGCGTAAAAAAGCCCCCATGCCTCCGCAGCCTCCCTTCCGCCGGTCGCCACGCCGCCGCGGTAGTGTAGTGGTTAGGATGCTTGCGCCGTAATCCAAAGATCGTGCGTTCGAATCTAGGCGCGGGTCGTATTTAAATCGAAATTGCAAGCGGAATGTGTGCTTTTTCTTGATAAATCACTTATATTACAGCTAACCGTTCATAAAACTATCGATAACAATTGACTGAAAGTCTGAAACCCAAAATATAGAATACATTCTAATAAAACAAATTCAAATATGGCGGCCGTTGCGCCAGGCTCCGCCCCCGACTCCGCCCCTTCGTGTGACGTCATCTGTGCACTTGGACACACAGGGAGATAGTGGACGACATGGGCCTGGAACACATCACACGCAATCACACACGTATCACCTCTGCGTATCACACGGTATCACACCAAGATCACAGAACGCGAGCGCAACGCAACACAACATTTCCAACAACAACAACCTATATACCGTGAGTCTTGCAACAACCCAAGGCAACAACCGCCCGTCCCCCCAGCGAATGTTGGTTTGCCTCAAGAACCTCAACCTAGAAGTCCCTTGGTTCGTCTAAAAAACTGGTGAGGATTTTTTCTCATTACTGATTACTTTATTTTTTCACATTTTATTTTTAATTGACCACCACATGACAATGATAAATGGTCTTAGGGCAGACCTTCACTTCAACTTAACACTATGCGTGATTGTCCAGGAAATTACGTGCGTGATCTGCGAGTTTGCTTGTTTTGCAGAAAATCAGTACGCAGATGAGGTTCAGCTGATAGGAAATATACAGGGTCGGCTACACTGGGGTCACGCTGACGCAGATTGTCAAGGAAATGCCGGACGCTCAGTGCAGGAATTGCCAGATCAAGATAGGACGGTCAGGATATTCCGTACTGATATAAAGTTCAGAGCTAACTATTTTGCAGAATCTGTGAGATTGTGTGATATGAGAGTTATTGGCACACTTGGTGGCGCACTGTATGAATCCAAGTGATGTAATTAATCATTGTTTCTTTAATTTTCATGTGTTATTGATGTCTTATTAACTAAATAAACTATTTATCAATAGAATAGTATAGAAGATAGCAAACTTGAGCATTTGTTGCGAAACCATTTATTAGTTGTCATTAGGTATTGTGTCAGCATACAATAATTCATGGAAATTCTGGAAAATAGCAGAAACCAATGTTAAGAGACTAGAGAGTCTTGCAATCACGGATCCCCAGATCACGTGCTTAATTTCCTGGATGGTCACGCATAGTGTAGCTCGGCCCAAGGCTATATAAACCAGGTAGAACGCTCCCGAAGAAAAAGTGGTGACAAGCAATATTTAGTTGCCGCGACCCTCACTTGTTCAAGACTATATCCGCAAGCAGCATTTACAAGCTAGCGGAAATCGACCAATCGGCGTTCGGCAATACTCAACGCTGATTGGCCCGATGCTCGTGACGAAATTGCGGGGGATTGCAGCTACTCCCCTATGGCGTTTCATTGACTTATGACTTTTGAAGGGGATTTGTATCAGTTTTTGTTGGGTTTGAGGCCATTTTTGAGCTTGGATATTCTTTCCATGACCTTTGACTATATAATAACGACATTTAATCATGACATTTCTATATACTACCGGTGTCACATCGGCCAAAAAGACCGAAGTACATGGGATAGACGGACCCCTGCTGATGGGGCCACACATGCCGGCGTGTGGTCATCGGAGGCCCATGAGGGCTCGACATTGGCCCTTTATGGGTCGGTATAGGCCCAGTGGGTCCAGTGCAGGCCTACCAGGGGCCGGTGGCATATAATGTAAGGCTGTCTCGGGACGAATTGAGGGCTCATGGGGGCCATATAGGACCATTAGGGACCACATAAGCCAATCAGGGGTCCATTTAGGCCAATAAAGGCGCTTCAGGGACTTGAAGAGGCCATTCAAGAGCCGTGGTGGGCCCATGAGGGGACGGCATTGGTCCATCAGGTGCAGTCAGGGGATGTTGTACGGGTTTCTCAGTGACCCATTTGGGCATATCAGTGACCAATTTAGACCCAGCAGGGGGCTTTGTAGACCTATCAGGGGCTGGTGATGGTTTATCGGAGGCCAGCGTTAGTCCATCGGGGCACGGCATGCCCATCAGAGGTAAGTGCGGGCCCACGCTGAACAATGATGGCCCTTCAACGGCCCCTAATGGATCTAGATTGACCCATGTTCCATGATGTGTCATGTAATGCCCCTATGGCAGGCCTACTCAGACCCCTGATGGACGTTCCCGGCCTCTGATGACCCTATACTGAATCCTGGTGGGGCTCTAAGAGTCTCCAATAACCCTTCTTCAGCCCATTATTACCATACGCTGACACTAGAGGCCCCACATCAGCCGCAGGGCAGTCCGTGCCAAGACAGCATGTCTTTTCGGCCGATATTACATCGGTAATATTAATTAAAATCATGATTTTATGGTGCCATTATATAGCTAACAGTCATAAGAAATATATTTCAACTCGAAAACAGCTCGAAACAGCATATAATCTTAAAGAAACCCCTCCGAAATCCAAAAGCCTATTCGGGTCCATAGAGAATAACTGCGGTCCCCCGCAATTTCGTCACGAGCGTCGGGCCAATCAGCGTCGAGCACTGCCGAGCGCTGATTGGTGGATTTTCCGCTAGCGCGTGAGTGCTGCTCGCGGAACAAGAGTTCGTCGACAATCCTCCACAAACGTCTGTCACCACTTTTCGTAATGCTAAACAGCCGGAGCGTACCCCCCTGGCTCGGCCTTTACTTGCCTGATTTCAGACCTCAGCCTAATCATACAGATCCTACTGCTATGTAGTAACATTGGGTAATTTGTCGACATTCATCACTTGTTTAGTTGTTTCAGGAAAAAATGGATTCAAACAAAACTGAAGTTGTGATTGTGTCAGCTGCAAGGACACCAATTGGTAAGTGAAAAGCTGAATGGTCCAAAAGATGAAAAGGTGAAGTGACCCACTCCATCCCTTCTTATCTTAGAAAAGGTGACTATCAGTTATGGAATTTTCACCCTATAAAGATTCAGAAACATATCCCCTGAAGTAAAGACATCAGCCAGCCTAATAAAATTGAAGCCACTGATAAACTCTGAATAGACTCTGTAGACCCACCATATCAAATGATATGTTATGTGACATCCTTTGACAAAGGAACTTCATAACCTTTGGCTTTGACATGACCCTGACCCAAGACCAACATTCTGAGCTGATTTTTCCATAGCTAAGAGTATATCATTTGACAGTCCTGACTCCTGAGCATGAACAGTGTGAATGTGTCAAAATTGCTTCTCTGACCAATTTTGGCTATGTTGTTTTGCAAAAGCAGACCAGCTACTGTGGAGCCTTAGATTTCACCTCAGAGATCACCAGTTGACCTGTGACCTTAAAATTGGGTACCAGTTGCAGTGTTTAAGGAAATATACCACTTTCCTCAAATAACTATTTTGTGACAGTATTATTATTTTTTCTGTGTAAAAAGATCTGAAAAAATTGTACAAATTTTCCAAAGTAATTCTTCACTATTTTCATATTGGAAGAATTATATTCCATCTTTGGTAGAGGCTAAATAGCGGTGGTGCTGAAGTGTATTACTCATGGATTAATCATATTGTATAGTTCAAAAGCAACTGCATGCTGATTCCCTGAGCTTAGCCTCTGCGGCTGGCTGCTGCTTTCTTGGCATTCTTCTACAAGTGACGCATTCTTTTGTGTCATTCAAGAGACAAGGTGCTCTTTTCGAAACGAGAAATGAAATATCATTGCCTAGGGTGATTTTCGGGGCTTAAAGCTCCCGATTTGTGCCAGTCTCAGCTCAAGCCACAAAACTGATATTCCTGAGGGGTGTTCACGGGCACCGCACACTGCCGCGTGCGGTGTGTGCGGAGCGTCCAGCAGGCGTGGGGGTAGGGGATGGGTACCTAGGCGGCTCTGACGTCACGGCTGCGTGCGGTGGACGGTCCGCTGTGGCCAGTCCCGACCGGCCACAGCGGTCGTTGTGTGCGGTGACGGAAGGCTGACGTAGGGACGCAGTGGGCGGAGCTTGGAGGCTGTGTGCGGTCCGACCGCACACAGGGCCCGTGAACAGCCCTCTGTTCAAAACTCTATTTTGAAAGTGGTATATTTCCTTTAAAAGCGTATACGCTCGTTATTTTGTGAAGCTCATAATCTCAGGGGTGGAACGGCGAGGGAGCCCCCCCCCCCCGTGCGTACCCACTGTACGGGACTGCGCATCGTAAGCCGTAAGCCGTAACGTTCGGTGTGGCCAACCAGGCGGCCGTCCAGTCGGAACACCGGCCGGTTGTTCAGTCTGTGTGCATTCTTGCACTTGATCACGATCCCATTGTCACTTTGTGTTGCCGTTATGTGATTCAGGCTCGTTTCTGGGCTCGCTTTCTACGGTTAAGAGTCACCAGCTGGGCAGCCTGGTCATCAAAGAAGTGCTGGCACGGGCCGGGGTCGACCCGTCTGAGGTCAGCGAGGTCATCATGGGTCAGGTGAGAGCGATGGCGCCGGTGGCAGACAATAGTGAACGCGACGGTGGGCCATACACTGACTGGGGACATATCTACTTTTGGTTAAAGGTCAGGGACTGCGAGCTAGGAATAGAGCACAAGATGTAGCATGCACATTGCAAACAGACCTTGCAAGTATGCATTACAGATATTCTACGTATAACCACCGGCCATAGACGCAAACTGTGGCGATCCGCCCGCTCTGTTGCTGACATGTGGTTCTGGCGTGCCTGCCGGTATGCTCAGTTCGCCTGGCGGCAGTGACGCCCGCGGCTGGTCTGACTCGGGTGTGTTTTTTTTTTTTTTTTGTCAGGTGCTGCCGGCCGGCCAGGGACAGAACCCGGCCCGGCAGGCCGCCGTCAGCGCCGGTGTGCCCGTCCACGTGCCCGCCAGTGGTGTCAACATTGTGTGCGGCTCCGGGCTGAAGTGAGTGGAGGTCAGGACAGTGCCTCAGGTCCAGGCGGTATCACGTACTGAGTGGGCCGTGAACTCAGCCAAGGCTGGACACAACCTTACCAAAGACTTGCTCATCGTAAGACTCGTTTGGTGTATCTAATCAAGGGGTTCGTTGAGACGGTGGACCATGACATCATGGGAGTATAATACTGCTATATCATTATAGTTATGTGTTTGAAGATAATGACGTGTGGAAACATGTGGACTGTGGAGATTAACTGTCCACCTGCTCCGACGACTGAACCGTCAGTTAATGTGCTCACCGTGTCCTCACGCGCAGGGCGGTGTGTAACGCGGCGCAGGCGATCCGCTGCGGGGAGGCGCGGCTCGTAGTGGCCGGCGGCCAGGAGTCCATGTCGCAGGCGCCGCACCTTATGGGCCTGCGCACCGGACAGAAGCTGGGAGACGCCCAGCTAAGGGACAGCCTGCTGGCCGACGGCCTGCAGGACGCCTTCTCCGGGATACACATGGGAGTCACCGGTGGGTGCTGGGTGTCCCGGGAGTGACGGTGGGTGCCGAGTGTTCTGGGAGTGAGCGCCCCGATAGGCCACTCTCCGCTCCCATGAATGCCCCTCAATCAGGACGCCAATATGGTGTCTGAGAGAGTTTGATATATTAGTCAACGAATTGTCACTCCTATAATACGACATGGCTACCGTCGATATTGCACAGTCCATGACGTTTTCGCCCCATGATTAGTGTTAATGTTGTTACCGGCGCTGCTCACCCTAGGCGAGTCAGAGCGACTCTCCGCAGGTGTACAGTCAGCTGGACAATTAGGTCATTAGGCGCCATCAGCCGGGATTTAATGGGCGACCGTCTAACGCCCCGCCCTCTCCCCGAGGCCCTCATGGCTGGAGAGAGTGCGATACTCAACACCTGGGCAGAGTCGATGGACCGTTTTACGCTACTCTCGGCAGCGACTGCATGTTTACCATGCCAGTGACGCCTTTCCAACTTGCTAAATCTAATTTTCAACGCAAGAAATTTCACGAACGCTTGCGAATGCCGACATTATGAATACAAGCTTCACGCTGAAGTGCCACCTTTTTGTCCTTGCTTTGATGAATATAATGATTTTTTATTTATTGTTTTTGCTCGACTTCGTTTATGTTTTTTTCTGCGTTTTATGATTTTTGCTCTACTTCCGAAAATGTTGGTTTGGGGATTCGCTCTATCAGGGCTTTGGCTCTATCGAGTCATCACTTTTCGAGCTATTTACTTGTAGCTATTTATTTGTAGAACGGGCTATGCGTTCACCACATCCTATCAATAACCCCCCTTGGTGTCGGTTGTCCTCAGCGGAGAACATTGCCAAGCAGTTCTCCATTTCTCGGTCGGAGCAGGACGAGTACGCGTGCCGGTCTCAGTCGCTGACCAGGGCGGCGGTGGAGGCCGGCCGATTCGCCGCCCAGATCGTACCCGTGTCCGTCCAGTCGCGCAAGGGTGTCACAGAGGTGACGGCAGACGAGTTCCCGCGCCCGGAGACCACCACCGAAACGCTGGCCAAGCTGAAACCGGCCTTCGTCACGGTCAGTCGCTAGAAGTGTTGAAAGTAGCCGTGCAGGTGCACTTTGCGTCATCGCTTTCCGATCTCGGGTCTTATTTGACTCACTGGGCCTCGCTTTTAATTTTTATTTGTTATTGGAAGATCAGCTGGACAACGTGGACTTCCACTACTTTTTCCCTTTTTGTTTTTTTTTCTTGATAAGAATAATCACAATTCACTGTTTTTTCTGCATTTTAATTATGTATTTTCTGTTTGGATGAATTGTGTTTGCTTTCTGCTTATCAATTAATATGTGTATTCATTATGCTCGCAGGACGGCAGTGGCACTGTGACGGCCGGTAACGCCTCGGGGCTGAACGACGGCGCGGCGGCCGTCCTGCTGATGAGCGCGGAGGAGGCGGCCACCCGCCGGCTCACCCCGCTGGCACGTGTCGTCTCCAGCGCCTCCTACGGCGTGGAGCCCAGCATCATGGGCACGGGCCCGATCCCGGCCACCCGACTGGCGGTGAGTGGCGCACGGGAGGCGTGTTAGGCACAGTCGGGGTGTTTGGAATACGGAGAGATTAGCCGGCTTTCGGGAGTAGATAAGGGAGAGGGTAATAGCTATGTACAAAACTCGTAATTCGAGAGAAGCAACACGTCAAATAGCTGTCAAGCTTCCAAAGCTGAGCAATCTGATCCTGTAAAGGACATTGGCGTCTGGACGTAAAGGCATTTGAAATCATGAAGTAAATGTCACGCAATCTCAACCAAATGTTCAGGCCATCGTTTATTATTGTTCGTCGATGATGATGATGATTTGGTGTTTTAGGGCACACCACCAACGAGGCTATACGGCTAATTGTTCGTCACGTATTACTCACGAGTCACGATATGTTAATTAATGACGGTAGTCATATTCCGGTTGCACCACTCTCGAAGTACATATATACCATCCGCAGAGTTGAGCTACATTTCGGCGTTCCGTTCCAGCTGGAGCGGGCCGGCTGGAGTATGGACGACGTGGACTTGTTTGAGATCAACGAGGCGTTCGCGGCGCAGGCGCTGGCCGTGCAGCGCACGCTCGGCGCGCCCATCGACAAGGTCAACGTCAACGGCGGCAGCATCGCGCTGGGACACCCGCTGGGGGCCTCAGGTCAGTCGGTGTGAACAATGCCGTCAGCAGCGCTACCAGACCTTTATCCTCATCACACAACACTTAGACAGACAGGATAGGGTCGGATGTCTCGTCTTACCGTTTTTCATCATTCAGACATGTTTACTTTATGGGTGGGGTGACTAGCTTCTGAGCACGGACGGTGTTTAGCATGGAAGTTGAAAACTCGTGCGGGGTTCTGGTCCTCCACGCGGCCGTCCCTACAGTGTCACTCTTCCCACGAACCCTCGTGACCGCTGCTCTCCCTCCCCAGGCGCGCGGGTGCTCGTCACGCTGCTGTACGCGCTGAGGGAGCGCCAGCTGAAGAAGGGCGTGGCTGCGCTCTGTATCGGCGGCGGCATGGGCATCGCCATGTGTGTCGAGCTCATGTGACGTCGTCACCGGGTCGCTTCCACGGGAACCGCGCCGCCGCAGAGGGAGGGTCGCCACCCGCCACTGCTGCAGCATCGGGAGATGAGGCCAGTCGAACCCCGTTAGGGGCTGTACCAAAATGATATTTCACTATACTCGTATACTCGTGCCTTTCTTGCCCACATGTATAATGTGCGTGCCAGTGGGCGTTTCCGATCAAACATTTTGTACCGAGCGTTTTACACTTGGCGGGCCAGTGAAGAGTTGTCTTCCCATCGACGGCTGCGCTCTGTAGCTGTATTGTTTTGGACGTTGGGCTGTCCGATGTGCTGTACCATCGTTGTTCTTTTGGTGATGGTTTTTGGTGACGGTCGAAGCTTTCTGAGTGAACGGGCGAGGGCTTTTATCGTTGACGTTTTGCCCCTTAGAACGTGTTCTTTGTTGCCAGTATAGCTTGATCATGACAGGCACGTCAGCGTGCATATCAGGAATTCAATCGTATTTGCCAAAGGTATGGAAGCTCAAGGCTCGCAAGTTTTTAGCATCTTGTTTTTGTTCCGTAATGGGAGCCTGCCGACGTTAGATCTATGTATTTTGTCATCTGCCATATCAGCACGTTGTCTGTTTTGTTGCCAGAAAATACTCAGATTGGTTATCGTGCGTTGATACTGTTACGTTTTTCTGTTAATGCTTTACGAAATACTCATTAGTCGTTTTGAGTTGTTGATTTGGTTATTTGGAAAATATATTATTCATCCACCTGCTCTTAAGTACTTTTGCCTTTGCATTATAAAGCCTCTTCTCATCTTCGTTCACGAATCAGGTACTTCCTTCTGCTCAAAATGTCACGATTGTCTTACGTTTGCTGTTTACCATTATACTTTCTATATCTGGCATCTGCTTGGTGCCTGTCTCCGTCAGGCGCTTGCAGTGATGTCGCGCGGGCTACCTCTCGGTCGTGGCTATCTATCGTTGCCGGCTGGCGGCCGTACCTACATGGGCCAAGACCCATGTTCCTGGAAAGTACTAGAACAGCACGAACGTCTCACGATAATGTGACCATCGGTCAGAATTTATCGCCCACGCACTCATAGCTATGAGCCACTCAATTACGAGTGACCTTCGTTTGTAACTTGTAAGCAAAGTGTGGTTTTGTACACGGTTGGTTGCAGTGGGCAGAATCAGGGTATATTGAGTGGCAGAATCAGGGCAGAATAGCCCTTCCTCAGTTCTTCGGAACCGTTAAAACACAGTTCCGAGATCATTCAAGATTTTTCTTGATTGCAGTCTGATTAAAAGAAAATGGCATTCGGACTATTTTCAAATGGTTAAAATAGAAATGGGATGAAACGATAAATACATCTATCTATCCGTTGATTTTTAGTGGCCCTCTGAGTGTTGTAGAAAGCGATTGTTGAGTACGACGAGTACGACTAAACATTTGGCATTGTATTAGTACCGTATGTCTGTATACTTAGCGAATTATTGACATTGACGTTCAGCGACAGATTCGCGGACCCCTAGGAATCCGCTGAAAATCCCTATATAGAGGTAACTTGGGGCGTAGAGTCGCGTGGTGCAATCCGTTAAACCCTACACCTAATACTTTTCCCGCTAGAGGGCAGCAAAGTTCCAGCGACAGATTCGCCGGACCCCTAGGAATCCAATGAAAATCCCTATATAGGGGTAACTTGGGGCGTAGAGTCGCGTGGTGCAATCCGTTAAACCCTGCACCTAATACTTTTCCCGCTAGAGGGCAGCAAAGTTCCAGCGACAGATTCGCCGGACCCCTAGGAATCCGCTGAAAATCCCTACATAGGGGTAACTTGGGGCGTAGAGTCGCGTGGCGTAATCCGTTAAACCCTACACCTAATACTTTTCCCGCTAGAGGGCAGCAAAGTTCCAGCGACAGATTCGCCGGACCCCTAGGATTCCGCTGAAAATCACTACACAGGGGTAACTTGGGGCGTAGAGTCGCGTGGTGCAATCCGTTAAACCCTACACCTAATACTTTTCCCGCTAGAGGGCAGCAAAGTTCAAGCGACAGATTCGCCGGACCCCTAGGATTCCGCTGAAATAGGGGTAACTTGGTCGCCGGACCCCTGGGATTCCGCTGAAAATCACTACATAGAGGTAACTTGGGGCGTAGAGTCGCGTGGTGCAATCCGTTAAACCCTACACCTAATACTTTTCCCGCTAGAGGGCAGCAAAGTTCCAGCGACAGATTCGCCGGACCCCTAGGATTCCGCTGAAAATCCCTACATAGGGGTAACTTGGGGCGTAGAGTCGCGTGGTGCAATCCGTTAAACCCTACACCTAATACTTTTCCCGCTAAAGGTCAGCAAAGTTCCAGCGACAGATTCGCCGGACCCCTAGGAATCCGCTAAAAATCCCTATATAGGAGTAACTTGGGGCGTAGAGTCGCGTGATGCAATCCGTTAAACCCTACACCAAATACTTTTCCCGCTAGAGGGCAGCAAAGTTCCAGCGACAGATTCGCCGGACCCCTAGGATTCCGCTGAAAACCCTACATAGGGGTAACTTGGGGCGTAGAGTCGCGTGGTCCAATCCGTTAAACCCTACACTCATACTTTTCCCGCTAGAGGGCAGAAAAGTTCCAGCGACAGATTCGCCGGACCCCTAGGAATCCGCTAAAAATCCCTATGTAGGGGTAACTTGGGGCGTAGAGTCGCGTGGTGCAATCCGTTAAACCCTACACCAAATACTTTTCCCGCTAGAGGGCAGCAAAGTTCCAGCGACAGATTCGCCGGACCCCTAGGAATCCGCTGAAAATCCCTACATAGGGGTAACTTGGGGCGTAGAGTCGCGTGGTGTAATCCGTTAAACCCTACACCTAATACTTTTCCCGCTAGAGGGCAGCAAAATTCCAGCGACAGATTCGCCGGACCCCTAGGAATCCGCTGAAAATCCCTACATAGGGGTAACTTGGGGCGTAGAGTCGCGTGGTGCAATCCATTAAACCCTACACCTAATACTTTTCCCGCTAGAGGGCAGCAAAGTTCAAGCGACAGATTCGCCGGACCCCTAGGATTCCGCTGAAATAGGGGTAACTTGGTCGCCGGACCCCTGGGATTCCGCTGAAAATCACTACATAGAGGTAACTTGGGACGTAGAGTCGCGTGGTGCAATCAGTTAAACCCTACACCTAATACTTTTCCCGCTAGAGGGCAGCAAAGTTCCAGCGACAGATTCGCCGGACCCCTAGGAATCCGCTGAAAATCCCTACATAGGGGTAACTTGGGGCGTAGAGTCGCGTGGCGTAATCCGTTAAACCCTACACCTAATACTTTTCCCGCTAGAGGGCAGCAAAGTTCCAGCGACAGATTCGCCGCACCCCTAGGAATCCGCTGAAAATCCCTACATAGGGGTAACTTGGGGCGTAGAGTCGCGTGGCGTAATCCGTTAAACCCTACACCTAATAATTTTCCCGCTAGAGGGCAGCAAAGTTCCAGCGACAGATTCGCCGGACCCCTAGGATTCCCCTGAAAATCACTACACAGGGGTAACTTGGGGCGTAGAGTCGCGTGAGGCAATCCGTTAAACCCTACACCTAATACTTTTCCCGCTAGAGGGCAGCAAAGTTCAAGCGACAGATTCGCCGGACCCCTAGGATTCCGCTGAAATAGGGGTAACTTGGTCGCCGGACCCCTGGGATTCCGCTGAAAATCACTACATAGGGGTAACTTGGGGCGTAGAGTCGCGTGGTGCAATCCGTTAAACCCTACACCTAATACTTTTCCCGCTAGAGGGCAGGAAAGTTCCAGCGACAGATTCGCCGGACCCCTAGGATTCCGCTGAAAATCCCTACATAGGGGTAACTTGGGGCGTAGAGTCGCGTGGTGCAATCCGTTAAACCCTACACCTAATACTTTTCCCGCTAGAGGTCAGCAAAGTTCCAGCGACAGATTCGCCGGACCCCTAGGAATCCGCTAAAAATCCCTATATAGGAGTAACTTGGGGCGTAGAGTCGCGTGATGCAATCCGTTAAACCCTACACCAAATACTTTTCCCGCTAGAGGGCAGCAAAGTTCCAGCGACAGATTCGCCGGACCCCTAGGATTCCGCTGAAAATCCCTACATAGGGGTAACTTGGGGCGTAGAGTCGCGTGGTCCAATCCGTTAAACCCTACACCTAATACTTTTCTCGCTAGAGGGCAGCAAAGTTCCAGCGACAGATTCGCCGGACCCCTAGGAATCCGCTAAAAATCCCTATGTAGGGGTAACTTGGGGCGTAGAGTCGCGTGATGCAGTCCGTTAAACCCTACACTTAATACTTTTCCCGCTAGAGGGCAGCAAAGTTCCAGCGACAGATTCACCGGACCCCTAGGCATCCGCTGAAAATCCCTACATAGGGGTAACTTGGGGCGTAGAGTCGCGTGGTGTAATCCGTTAAACCCTACACCTAATACTTTTCCCGCTAGAGGGCAGCAAAGTTCCAGCGAAAGATTCGCCGGACCCCTAGGATTCCGCTGAAAATCACTACACAGGGGTAACTTGGGGCGTAGAGTCGCGTGGTGCAATCCATTCAACCCTACACCTAATACTTTTCCCGCTAGAGGGCAGCAAAGTTCAAGCGACAGATTCGCCGGACCCCTAGGATTCCGCTGAAATAGGGGTAACTTGGTCGCCGGACCCCTGGGATTCCGCTGAAAATCACTTCATAGGGGTAACTTGGGACGTAGAGTCGCGTGGTGCAATCCGTTAAACCCTACACCTAATACTTTTCCCGCTAGAGGGCAGCAAAGTTCCAGCGACACATTCGCCGGACCCCTAGGAATCCGCTGAAAATCCCTATATAGGGGTAACTTGGGGCGTAGAGTCGCGTGGTCCAATCCGTTAAACCCTACACCTAATAATTTTCCCGCTAGAGGGCAGCAAAGTTCAAGCGACAGATTCGCCGGACCCCTAGGATTCCGCTGAAATAGGGGTAACTTGGTCGCCGGACCCCTGGGATTCCGCTGAAAATCACTACATAGGGGTAACTTGGGGCGTAGAGTCGCGTGGTTCAATCCGTTAAACCCTACACCTAATACTTTTCCCGCTAGAGGGCAGCAAAGTTCCAGCGACAGATTCGCCGGACCCCTAGGATTCCGCTGAAAATCCCTACCTAGGGGTAACTTGGGGCGTAGAGTCGCGTGGTGCAATCTGTTAAACCCTACACCTAATACTTTTCCCGCTAGAGGTCAGCAAAGTTCCAGCGACAGATTCGCCGGACCCCTAGGAATCCGCTGAAAATCCCTATATAGGAGTAACTTGGGGCGTAGAGTCGCGTGATGCAATCCGTTAAACCCTACACCAAATACTTTTCCCGCTAGAGGGCAGCAAAGTTCCAGCGACAGATTCGCCGGACCCCTAGGATTCCGCTGAAAATCCCTACATAGGGGTAACTTGGGGCGTGGAGTCGCGTGGTGCAGTCCGTTAAACCCTACACCTAATACTTTTCCCGCTAGAGGGCAGCAAAGTTCAAGCGACAGATTCGCCGGACCCCTAGGATTCCGCTGAAATAGGGGTAACTTGGTCGCCGGACCCCTGGAATTCCGCTGAAAATCACAACATAGGGGTAACTTAGGGCGTAGAGTCGCGTGGTGCAATCCGTTAAACCCTACACCTAATAATTTTCCCGCTAGAGGGCAGCGAAGTTCCAGCGACAGATTCGCCGGACCCCTAGGATTCCGCTGAAAATCACTACACAGGGGTAACTTGGGGCGTAGAGTCGCGTGGTGCAATCCGTTAAACCCTACACCTAATA